GGCAGTGCTGTGCCCCAGCTTTCTGTTGTTAATTAGTCTGTGGCGCGTGCCCGCTTCGACTTGACACGCCGCCGGCGCTTCCGCCCGCGGCCGTTGATTAAAAAGCATCCGCACCAGCAGTTCTCTGCCTAATTCGTCTCTGCGTTGCCCGCTTTGACCTGACTCGCCGCCGGCGCGCTCGCCCGCGACCGCTGAATAAAAAGTATCCGCGCCAGCCCCCTCCCCCGCCGCCCCTGCCGCGTGACCGCCGGGGCGCCCGTGGGGTGTCACCGCTGGGTCTGTTTCCGCGGCGCCGGCCCAGCCGCCTTGCTCCGCTCTAGGCGTTGTTTGGTCCTCTTCTTGCCCTGCCCAAGCGTGCGAGGCCGCAGGGAAAGCCCCTCGGCCCGTCGCGCTGGGCGGCGGGCCCCCCCCCAGAGGGCACTCCTCCCGGTGGACCTCCGTCTGTTCTGGCCGCCCGCTCCGACAGCGGCTGGCCTTCGCTCCTCGTCGCCACCGGTGCTTCGTTTCGCGTGTTCTCTCTACCAGATCTGCGACCGTTAGTCGCCTTCGCGCTTCTTCCGTCCCCCCTGACCCCGCGCGCGAAGCCGCAGGGAAACCCCCTCGGCCCAGGGCGCTGGTCTGGTGGCCCCCCCCTCTGTGATGGTCCTCTCGGACCGTCTTGGCGGTCCGCGCCACGCGTCTCGCCGGCCGCCTGTCTCCCTTCTCTGCACGGGGTCGACGGACACCTGGTCCTCCCCCATCGCGCTGCTCATCTGATGCATTCCGAGCTGTGCCCTCCTGCCACCTGGGCGGCGCGTGTGGCTCGCACCCGCCCTTTCGGCTCTCCGCTTCCCGCCGCCCTCCGCCGGCCCTCTGGCCGTCCCCCCCCCCCGCCTCTTGCAGCGCGGTCCGGTCGGGACCCCCCAAGCTGCCCCCTCGACACCTTCGGTGTCTGGCGATCCGGATCGCTTCCGTTGAGCGCCTGCATGCCCCGTCTTTCCCCTGTGACGGTGGTTCGCTGTCAGGTTCCGCATCCTTCGTCTTCGCGTGTGCCGGCTGTTCGTCTTGCTGGCGGTGTCGTCAGGGACGTGGTGGGCTTCCCGAAAAACCACCTGGTGCTGCACGTCGCCCGGATATACCTCCCGGCGTGCGCCTCTTGAGCGGCAGCGAGGTTCGCCTCCTGTTTGTCTCTTCTTTTTTTTTGTCCTTTTTCGCCCTTCTTTTTCCTCCGCGCTAATTTCGGGCGCTGCTTGTCTGCAGTGCCCTGACGCCGCCCGACCTGTTTCTCGCCGTAGACGCGGTCCAAACATATCCGCACCAACCCATCCAGCAACGATGCCCAAGCGAGTTGCGTTGATCAGGAAAGTGCGGGAGCACGTCGTGGAACAAAAGGGAGGCGCAGTTTTGAAGCCGAATATCGTGATTTGGCTGAGCAGGCCCAGGACTCAAGCATGCATGTGGACCTTTTCGAGGTGGGTGTGTGGGGGGTGTTGGCCTTGCGCACAGCAGGCAACAGGCCGTCCCCCCCGCCGTCCTTGTCAACATCAAAGCGCAGGGCTCGCGAGGCGCCCGCGCGTGATCCAGATGTTGATGCAAAGTGCTCTTTACACTGTTTGTGGAAGGTATGGTGTGTGTGGTTGGCATTGTACATTGCGGTCGCTATTCCAACCCCCGCCGTCTCAGTCAAAATCCAATGCGAAGTGATCGCGGGGCGCCCGCGCCCGATCCAGATTTTGGTGCAACGGGCACTTGGTACTGTTGTTTGCAAGGGATGGTGTTGGGGGATGCTTGCTGGCCCGGGCTTTTTGCCACTCGGATGGGAGAGGGAGTGTACGTTAGTCTACGTTTGCAGCAAGGAGCAGTGATGGACCACGTTTGGAAGGGGAAGAGGGAAGCTGGAAAAAGACACCCTTTCAACCACCCTCGCGCAGGGGGCTGGTGGGGTTTGATTTCTGGCATCCCCATTATCTGCCTCATCTGTTACCTTCCTTCCCTCCGTTTTCCACCCTCTTCTGATTCCCCTCATCCTGCCCCCCCTCTGCCTCTCCATCCCCCTTTTCATGTCCTCATCCACCCCTCTCTCTCATCATTCAGCTTCGTTGCACCACCAGACGTGTTGGTGTGGCGGTCTGGACGTTTCGATTTATATCTCCAACCGTGTATGGTTACATGATCGCAGAGCTTGACAGTTCCAGGCGCTAAGAGGGTGCAGGGCCGGCTGTGCCCAACTGAGGAAGTCGCGCCTCTATTTCGAGTGTACCCAGCTGGAAGCACATGTCTGCGATTTCATGCTATGCAGTGCGATACAAACGACACTGCTGGATTTCGCATCGTAGCGTAGCAATGCGTAGCATAGCGCCGCATAGGAATTCATCAAATAGCAATGCTGCACATGAATTCACGTCTACCATATCATGGCATCGCATCGATTAGTGCTGCGTGCATTTGCCTGATGCCGCCTGCCGTGACGTCTTACCCGTGCATTATGTTGCCTCACGTTGCATCTAATCAAATCGCCGCGTTGCACAACATGCCGTATACACGCGTCGCATAATATTAGATTGCGATTTTCTGCATATTGTAGAATACCATAGTTTGTGATTGCAGTATGGTGCGGTGCATTGCATACCCTTGATCATCAACAAGTAGCACTGCAGAGCACAGCATAGCATATCATATCGCTGCAGTGCGTAAGAGCGCAGCGCATAGCACAACACGGCCCTGCATATTTTCACATGCCATGTCTGCGCACATCGAGACAGGACGTATCATTGTATGTTACAGCAACTGACATCATAGCATAGCGTAGCATTGCAATATTGGTCATGCGGATTTGCATCATACCATGGCGTAGTTCCGTAGTCCCGCATATCATTATTTGGTGTAGACTTGCATTGTGTAACATGGCATTGCATTGCAGAGCATGGCTATTTATCGCATCTCATGTTGTCGTATGGCGCAATATTGCATATTACTGCGCACCGTTGCTCAGCATTGCAATGTGATGCACCTTCAGTCGCTGCATGCCGCATCACAGCTGTGCATCACTGCGCATCCCTGCTGTGCAGTATATCACGGGTTGCCACCGTACATACAGTCAAGGCGCCAAACTAATGATTGTTTTGGGCTCAGGATGGGCTCGGATTTCCGGACCGCTCCTCAGATCGGAGGGCCCAGCAAACGAGTCACGAGGGAGTGGTGGCCTGACGGGTCTTGCCAGAGAGTCGAAACAGAACAGACGTCATAAAACGTCGCGGGAGGTGCTTCGCGCCGCCCAGCCTCTCCAAGTGGACCAGCTCGTCGGCGTTCATGGGCACGATCCGTTCTGACGGCACCATTCTTGCGCGGCCCCGTCAGCCTGAAAGCCGTTGATGCTGTCACTCATTTGCTCAGGTCCTCCACCCGAAGGAAAAAAGCACGGCATTAACATTAACTTTCGGAGCTCCGCGCGGATTTCTCGAATACGCTTTGGGCCCCCCTGGCGGCGACTCTGGTGCTGCCCCTGGCGCGCTCCGCGCGCCAGGGAGGGAGGCCCAGCGCCGATCCAAGAAACAAGCGCGGAGCTCCGTATGGTTATTCAGTTGTCTTTCTTCTGGCTGGAGAGCGCACCTCGCCAGAAGTCAAGCCATGAGCCTTGGCCCATGCAGACCTGCTCGTGGGGGAGGGCTGACGGGCCTGTTCTCCATCACCACCACCACACGTTGGAGGGTTGATGGGGGTCCTCCTCCCCCTCCTCCTTCCCCCTCCAACTTATGGCGGCGGTGGTGGAAAACAGGCCCATCGAGGGCGCTGCCCTCGCTCTGGCGCCGCGAGCCTGCGGCCGGCAGACTTGCCGAGTGGCTGCGTCAGCGGGCGGAGTGCGCGCCGCTCTCGAGGTGTTGCCTTCGCTCGCCGCGCCGCGCGCGAGCCGCGCACGTTCGCCATGAAGTCTTCCAGCAGCTGCACGGACGGAGGGCGATTGCTCTTCAACATGTGGCCCTCGCCGTGGAGCCGCGCACATGCGCTTGACGAGTTTCAGCGGTCGCGGAGATGGAGCAGGGGGCCCCTTCTCAGCATGTGTCTCTGGCCTGGGACGCTTCAGCGCCTCACGATCGAAGATGTTGTAGTAGACATTCGTTTGTATTTCTCTCTAAATCCTGCTCTCGGACTTGACACATACACTACTTCGACTGATGGAGGTTAGTTTTGGTTGTTTGCTTTTTGTTTAGCCTGGTTGTAATTGGATGTTTCTGCATGTTTCATCTTCTCTGACATTTAAAGGCTTGATGCACGTTACAACCATCTCGAGTTTGAACAGGAATCAATTGCCATCCGTACGTGCAGATACGCCCAGACTAGCGTACGTTGCGGTGGAGCCAGAGCACGCATTTGACAATGAGCCGTCTTCCATCCGTGCAGGTGCTGGGAAAACATGAATAGTTTGATGCAACAGATGTGAGGATTCATCTGGCGCGAGCACGATTCGAGAACCATACCAGGTTCGTGTGCACGCGCCTTGTCAAACATAATGTCTCACCTTCTCACCATGCGTGTTCATCGGACCCTCGCCTTTCCTGCAAGTGCTCGCCGTTGTGAATTGACACCATGTTGTCGGCTTCGTGAGAATTCGACTTGGGACGCGAGGGTGTGCTGCAGCATCAGTGGTGCGTGCCGTGCGTACTATGGTCCCTCCTCCTCCTCCTCCTCCTCCTCCCTGTCTGCGTCCTCCACCATCCCTCCTCCCTCTGGCCTCCGTTTCTCCCTCCGCCTCCTCCTCCGTCTGTTCCCGCCTCTTTCTTTGTGTCCTCTCCTCCTCACTTCTTCCTCATCCCCCTCCCCGGCTCCCCGTCTTCCGTCCTCCTCGTCCACCCGCCTCCTCCCCCTTCTGCCTCCTCCTCGCTCTTCGTCGTCGTCCTCCTCCTCCTCCCCCGACGACGACGACGGCAGCGGCGGCGGCGGCGGAGGGTGCGGCCGTGGCGACGGCGACGACGGCGGCCTGCGGCGGCGGCGACCACGCGCGCTGGCGGCGGCCAAGCGCTGAGGCCCTGCGACGGCGGTGCGGCCGCTCCCGCTGCGCCGCTCTGGCCGGCGCGCCCGCGCCCGCGGGCGGCCCGCCGCTGCTCGGAGCCCGCGGGCGGGGGGTGTCGAGAGGGTCAAGCAGCGGCGATCGTTGCGTGGCATCCGACCCCGAGCCCCAACCGCGGGGTCGGTGCTGGAGGTCGCTGCGGCGGCCCAAAGTCGGGGCAAGGTGTTTTTTGTGTCAAGGAGCGGCATGGCCCTTCCCAGCACCCCCCTCGCTCTGCGATATGGGCGTGACTCATGCTAAGCAGTATAGCGACATAGAGGTGCCGATTCATGTCCAGCGTAGTCATTTTTGGTTAGGGGTCGATTGTCACGCAACCAGGCTGCTTGCCTATAAGCCTACCAAAGAATGTTCTGAGGATTTGCTGCGGTTTGCATGACCTGTTCTTAAAACGTGTCTGGCTGAGACCGCTTTGTTTTCAGATAGTGGCTCCATGGTCCAGGAGCTCCGTTTTTGTTATTAGAGCGTTCTTTGGTTCTGAGAGCATGTCGTGGTAGGCCAAAAGGACTGCGGGGACGGTCCGTCCCTGCTCAGCAGGGGCGGACCGTGCAGGAGCAGCAGCAGCAGGAGGGCGGATGCTCATGCCATCAGGAATCAGGAATCAGCAGGAGGGGGAGCTCTGGTGCTCCGAGGCTCGGGGGAGAAACAGGTACCAATACCACACTACCCTTGCCTCGTTTTCGCCTTCTTGGGCCTCCTGGCATGCCCTCTTCGCCACGGCTGGATTCGCCTCGAAATTCTGATCAGAGCGTACCCCGGAAGAGGTCCGGGGAGTAATGGTATTGTTAACACAAAGTTTTCGGTTTTCGGGGACTTCGGCATGCGGTGGCTATGGATAGATTCAGGCCATGGAGGGGGCAAGTATATTTGTATCCACAGCCCGCCGAGGTCCCCGAGGATGTACCCTACAGGGGGTGGTTATGGATCAATCCCCGCCTCGCGCAGCAGGAGGGGGATATCCGGTGCGGTCCGGCAGCCTCCTCATCGCGGCGTGGGAGAGGTGGGGGAGGACCTCTCGGAACCTTTCTTGGCGAGTGGCCGAGCTGCACCCCACGACACAGGTGCACCCCCGGCCGGGCACCGAAGGCCCTGACGGGACACGCGCCGGCGCCGATACAGGTTTCGCTTGTCCACCCGGCGGGCGTCCACTCTCCCGCAGCAGTCAGCTTCGGATGGGGCTAGGACGAGGATAAATCCGTTCCAGAGCGTTCCGGAACGCTCTCAGAGCGTTCCAGGACTCTCTGAAACGGCCGAGGCGTTTGAAACATTTTCCAGAGCCGCCGGATCTCAGAGATTTTCCAGCTATTCGTGCTTCTCCTCGGCCTTCAGTGCGGAGCAGAGTGGCGACGGGCCCTCGCGCCACCGCTCAGCACCGGTGCCTCGCCCTTCCGCCGCCTCCACGCAGGCGTCGCAGCAGCACCAATCGCAGCGGCTGCAGCGGCTGCATGCTCCGGCCACGCTGGAGGGCCGCACTGCAGACCGCACGCCTGCCTTCTGCGGCCACGTGGCTCTGGCCTCTCCTGCGCTCCTCCTGGCGTCGTCTCCCCAGGATCTGCTCGTCCAGTTGCTCAGGGACCAGCGTCACTCTCCACGGCACCTCCAGGCCAAGGAAGGGAGCCAGGCGCAGCAATTGCAAGAGCCTGCGAAAAGCTCGATGCTTGCACGCCCTCAGATCTTCAAACAACGGTCTGCACAACCATCCCCGTGATGCCCATGGACTCGCACTCCGTGTCCAGCATCTCGCCGTGCAACTTGTCGACGGCCAGGCGGCTGCTTAGTTTACCCCCGTTTCTCGAAGAAGCCCTCGTCAACAGCACCATCGGGTGGTATCATCCTCGGCCCAGGGCGGCCCCGCCGCGTCTTGGGAGGTGCCTCGCGCTGCCACGCCACATCCAAGTGGACCATCTCGTCGGCGTTCACGGGCACGGTCCGTGCTGACGGCAATCGCACCGCCGTCACACCATGCTTGTACAGCCCTGTCATCCTGAAAGTCGTTCATGTTTTCACTCACTTGCGCAGGCCCTCCACCAGAAGGACAAAACGGCACTGACATGAACTTTCGGAGCTCCGCGCGGAGTTCTTCGATCTGCGCTGAACCTCCCTTGCGGCGCCTCTGGCGCTGCCCCTGGCGCGTTCTGCACGCCAAGGGAGGAGGGCCCAGCGTCTCGATCCAAGGCGCGGACCTCAGCAAGTTGATGTTTATGCAGTTGTTTCTTCTTCTATCCACTTGGGTGAGACTAAAGAGGGGGGTAGGGAAAGGTGGGTACGAATTCTGCTGCGTGCAGTCGGCTTCGGCCCCGCCGCCGGGAGTTTCCTCAAGAAACTGGCGCCTCTGGCGCCACGAGGCGCCAGGAAAACCAGCAACACGAGCCGATCCGCGAATCCCCCCTTTATGACCCCCCTTTCATCCAACCACCTCCCGACAGCTCCGCATGTCGACCTCCCGCCTCCGGCTGGCAGCCACGAAGACCCTCGTGCGAGTCAGAGTTTTGCAGGGCGCGAGAGGGTCTCACGCGCCTGGCGCAGACGGGCACAGGCGCACGCGCTTCGCCGCATGAGCTTGCGCTGACGCCTCGTTCGCTCGCTCGCCATTTCGTCCAGCCCTGTCCACGCCTTCGCGATCTCCCCGAGCCCAGCTGGCGCGAAGGCAGTGGCGCCGCAGGTGCCACAGCCGCTGACGCCGCTGTGCTTCCCACGCGGGGGGGGGGGGGGGGGGGGCGGCCTCGACCTGCCGGCGGAGGAGGAGGAGGAGGAGGTGGAAGCGGTGGAGGATGAGGAAGAGGGAACCCAAGTGGTCGAGCATGCGTTACATTCGTTCTGTATTGATTTAAAGCTATGTAAACATATAACATATAGAATATGTAGACACATGTATGGATGATTGTTTGATTGCGTGTATGTATGTGGGTATGTGCGTGTGCCTTTATGCATGCATTAATGGAAGTATGCACGCTTGCTTGCATGCATGACTGGCTGTATGTATGCATCTATGCATGTGTGTATGCATGTATGTATGTATGCATGCATGCATGTATGTATGTATGCGTTTACGTATATATTAATACATGTGCATATGCATGAATGTATGCAGGTATGCATGTGCGCATATATGCATGTGTGCATGTATGCATGCGTGCATGCATGTTTGTATTTATGTATGCACATATGCATGATTGTGTGTATGTGTGTGAATGTGTGTACGTGTGGATGTGTGTGTGTGTGTATGTTTGTATGTATGCATGCATGCTTGTATGTGTGCATGCATACATGCATACATGAATGCATGCAAGCACGTATATGTATACCTATGTGTGCGTCTATATGTCTGTGTGTAGACCTGTATGTCTGTCTGCGTGTATGTGTGTATATATGTATGTATGTAGGTAGGTAGGCAGGTCGGTAGCATGTAGTAAGGTAGATACGCAGGCAGGTTGGTATGTGTGTAAGACTGCATGCATGCATGCATGCATGTACGTGTATGTGTATGTTTGTTTGTGCTTTATGTATGTGTGGATCTATGTGAGTGGGCAGGTAGGTAGGTAGGTCGATACGTAGGTATATCGGCAGGTGGGTATGCATGTATGTATGTGTGTACCTGTACACCTGTGTATGTATGTGTATGTATGTTATGCAAGTGTTGCACGCACGCATGCATGCATACATGTCTATATGTAGATATGTCTATAAAGATACGGAGGAGGAGGGGCATCTCCAGTTTCGGACCATTTCTGTTTATTCGTAGTAGGAGGGGGGATGGGATGAGGAGGAGGAGGAGGAGGAGGAGGAGGAGGAGGAGGAGGAGGAGGGGATAGGGCAGGATCTGGAGAGGGAAGAGGGGGAGGAGGGGGAGGCTGGGGAAGAGGGGGAGGAGGAGGAGGAGGAGGATTATTTGGTTCCTGCAGCGGTCAGCGACCTAATGAACAGAGGGAAGGGGGGAGGGAGAGGGCAGGACAACTTCACTTCCGAGAGCGGCGGCCGCTCCAGGCACTTTGATTTTCGCAGACGTGCCTGTCTACAAACCTCTGGCCAATTTCGACAAGGCCTCATTCCCAGCTTGCGACAATCGGTTGGGACAGTTTGTGTGCAAGTTGCGGCTGTTTCCTATTCCTACATGGCCGCATGTGGTACAAGCCTGGCCCTGCACGTGCTCGAACCACCGGAGATGTTGGGTATTGTGCACCGCCCTGCCATTCATTTGCTAATGCTTCTCGAGGAGCGCCAAGGAGGGCGCTGGACGTCAGGGAGTGCAGAGCCAGCTGCGAATGTCAGATTTCTGAGGCCGTTTGCGGAATGCTCTGCAACTCACAAATTTCCCACGCCATTCTAAGACGTGCGCGCTGGCATCGCAAGCGGCCGCCAGGCGCTCCGCAGTGAGCGACCCCTTGGGCCTCCGAAGCTTTTGGGGTTACACGATCCCGCTCAATCCAGGAGTCAATGTCTGCGCACGCCTTTAAATTGGCGGCCAATTGTTCACGAATCGAGTCTGCAACCAAGTCAAGTTCGAGGATGGGCTGCGTCATTGCCTCAGGTACCTGCGCCACCTCTGCCTCGGACGCCGCAAGACAATCAGCTTCGTCGTTGCCGATTCTCCAAGCTTGCGGCACTTCTAGCAGGGCGGTTCGGGCTTCGGTCATGTGGTTCTCCACTTTAAGGATGGCGAGATGCCCAGACCGTTGCTGGAGGATTGGGTGCAGCTGCCGCCACAGGTCGATGTGTGAGCGCTGCTGGCGGCTGCGTAACATAGTGATTCCACGGATCACGTAAGAACTATCATACACACTCATACACGCACGCACATATCACGTCGTTACGGCCGGGCGGCAGACAATTGAGTGCATGCAGCAAGGCTTCGAGTCATTGGCTCAAGGGATTTCAAGCGGCGCTTGGTAGTGCGAGCTGTGTGCACATACCGACTAAGCACTTGCAGTAAAGTTTCTGGTCGTCCCCGCGGCCGCGCCCTGTGGTCGCTCGCGCGCGTCTGCGCCTGCGTCCGTGGGTAATTTGCGGCATTTTCAGTTTCTACGGGCGCGGGCGCATTCATGTCGCAGGAAGACGATATGGGCGTGGAGGGCGGTGGCACCGACCTGACGCAGGACGCCGCCGGCCTCGACATCAGCGACACCATCGCCGTCGACGAGGGTCGCCGCGATCTTCCACAGCCGGCCATCGGGAGGACAGCAGCTTTGGTGCCCAACCTTTTGATGATCTCTGAGCAGATGTTCCAAAACGATCCTGCGCAGATGGTCGTGCAATATCCTTGGTGTTGGACGTCCCTGGTGGGAGTCTTGACCAAGCTCGGCTCTGCGGCGGATTCCCAGGACCCTTGCAGGACCCTCGGCTTCGCGCTCTACGACGGCCCCGAGCCCACTGCCCAGGCCCTCGCCGCCCGTGAGAGAACGGCCGTGCAGTTGTGCCAGCTGAGTCTTAAGACGGATTTGTCGCCACCAGACAAGGCGAGGGCACGCGCTGCGATCCAGCACTTCCCGGACGCTGCAGGTGCCTGCGCTTCGGATATTCCGGAAGTCTTGCGAGAGCGCCGACGCCTGCGGGCAGGTAAGCTCCCGCTGTGAAAAGAACTAGGACTGGAGGCGTTAGAGTTGCTCCGCGCCCAGTCCCCTGGCCAGGATGCTTGGCTTCTCACGCAGTGGCCCAGCATTACGACACCACCGCAGGCGAGCCCCAAGGACTCGACCGCGACGCGGTCAGTGGCGACGACGATGATAAAAGGGGGACGACAACGTGCGGACACGACTCGCCGATCAGCATGTGGTCGCCTGGGTTCCAGAGGACGGCAACGCTACATCACGCTGCCTGGCTTCGCTACTACGTCGGGTCGCCGCTGGCCCTCGACCAGCCTCTCTCCGGTTTGTGGCTTCCTTTCCTCTCTTCAAGGGCGCGCGCTCTGTCGAGAACGTCTTGGACAATTGGTGGTCCCCTCTCCTTGGGGACAGCTGGGCTCTATTGGTTCGTCGCCGTGAGTTCTCGGACCACCCGTTGGAGATGAACGTGGCGGAGCCGGCGGCCCCGCGCCACGGCAAGGTGGGCCCGGCGATCTTCGCGATCGCATTTTCAGGGGGCCAGGCCCCCCCCCCGGCGATGATCCACTACCGGCAGCCCCTCCTCCAGTTCGACGACATCATTCTCATGGCCTTCGACGTGCGGGTGGTGCGCGCGGTTGATTTCGCTGGGGAGCTGCAGCCCCAGGAGGCCCAGGGTCTTATCTGGCGCAACCTGCGGCGCAGCCCGACGACATCTGCCGACGCCCCGCTGGTGCGCGTCGACGTGATCATCCCCAAGCACTGCGCGGAGTTAAACAAGAGCCTCGTGCAGCAGGCGCTTCGCCCCCACTCGCCCCCGGCTCGCAGGTGCATTGCGCCGATTCGGACGCGCAAATCTTGGACATCATCAGCGCGATGGGCTCGGCATACTTCTGGCCCATGTGCACGCAGATGTTGGCGCTGAGCAAGATTCGAGCGCTGGTGCTCTCCGACGCTGCTGACGACGCGCGGATCGAGACGCTGGACCACGTCGCTGCTATCGACCCTGTTGGCGCCGCCTCGCGTCTGCGTTGGAAGCCCTCGACGGGCGGCCGCCCTGTCGCCGCCCCCTCAGCCACCGCCAGGGCTCTAACGGCTACCCGCAAGAAGGCGCACAAGAAGCCCGCTGCCGTGGACCGCCGCACCGACCTCGCCATCCGAGGGGGGCCCGGGCAGGAGGGCCGGGAGGACATGCCCTTTTTGATGCGACACTTGGCATCGGACACGGGGCTCGCCATCTTGGCGAAGCCGGGGGGCAGAGCGTTTTCGCGCGGGGAGTGCGAGCACGTACCCGTGGAGCTCCACGGCGGAGCGCGGGGGGGGGAATCGCCTCCTCTTGAAGGATGCGGGCGAGGTCGCTAGGGTACATGCTGCCCTTCATGGACAGGTCGTCGCTGTCGGGGATACGGGGATCGGCGTCGAGGTGGCCAACGAGCGCTTCGACATGACCGAGAGGACGGGGAACGGGGCGCGGCGGCGAGCGCAGCGTCGGCTTGCCCCCGCGATGTTTTCAGACGCACCAGCGGCTGCGCGCCACGATTGGGAATCCAAGTATTCGATTGCATGGGCGTGAGTGGATTCGTGGCCCTCGTCGCCACGCGGCCCCCCCTGCCGGGGCAGGGCCGGGTCGCGCTGACCGCTCTGGCATGGGTCTCTCCCGCTATCACCCGTGCGGGGCGCGGTTTTCGCCTGCGCCACCTCCATATTCATCTTCTGCGCTTCCGATGTGGTTTCCTTTGTTTGTCAGCTCGTCTCCGGCCTCATTGACACCGAGTTCGATGCATGCGACGCCAATTTCTTCATGTGCGTTATCTTCTGCATACACGTTTTCTCCATGCGCGCCTTCGTCTGCTTGCGCGCTTGCCGCAGGTGCCCACGCATCTTCGCCCTCCTCTTCTCCGTCCTCGACGCGCTGTCCGTCAGCCAGTTCGTCGGCTATGCCATCGACGCCTGCGCCAGTCTCCTCGATGCCGTTTTCCTAGATGACGCTTGCTGGGGGCTTCTCTGCGGCCGCCTCCACGACCGCTGCGGCGGAGAGCCTGCCACCCTGCGGAGACCGCCCGCTGCCGCGCATTGCCCCTTTCGCATTCCCCGAGGGCGCAGTTCGCCCTGGGCGTTCTATTCAACAGGTTGGGCGCCAAGAAGCCGTGCCAGTCGATATGTTCCAGCGGCTCCGTCTCCGGCGTGCTCTGGGCGACGCCGCCCCCCCCCCGCAGCCATCCCAGCGGGGTTGCTGTCTGTCCCCGCGCCTTCTACTGCCTCGCCAGCGCGCCGCCTCGGGCAGTTCCGCGGGGATCCGACGCCGGGTACTTGGAGCGCCCAGGCCTTGTTCGCCTTCGACATGGCGCGGAGGGGCGCGAAGGCGCAGTGTTTGCGCTACCTCGTGACTAAGATTGATGTTCCGTTGGTTACTGAGGCTCGCGGCGCGGCGGGGGGCCACGCCCTGCGGCGCGGAGCGGGCTGCGCCGGCTGGCGGGCGCCCGGCCCGACCGCGGGGCACGCGGGCGCGGGCGTCGTCGTCAGGAACTTGTTCCTCGAGCACTTGGGCGCAGTCCCGGCCTCGGCCTGGACAGTCATCCGGAGAGGGAGGCGCCCCTCTGGGGGGCTTCGGGGCCCTCGGGCCTGGCGGCTGCTTACTTCCACGCGGGATCGGCGATGACTGAGTTGGGTGCGACGTCCGCCCATCTGAGCATTTCAGGTGCACTGGCTTTCTGGGTCTCCGCGCCTGCTTACGCTCTCGGCTTGCTAGCCGCATCGCGCCTGCCAGGCATGCCACGACAGCTTTGGAAGGCGACTTCAACTGCGCTGCGGAGGAGACCTGCAGGCAGTCCCCCACTGCGGTTCGCTGCTCAGGCGGTCGGGACCAGGGCGAGGAGCGCCATTTCCGGTCGCTTCTGGGTTTCCATTCGACCTGCACGAGATGCGCCAGAACGAGCGCGCCCACGCATCGGCGAGCGCCCGCTCGCGCCTGGACCGCACTTACCTGAACCAGCGCGCCGCGGAGCAGCTGGGGCGACATATGTCCTGCTGTGCTCTGGCTTGGAAGCCTGCGCCGTCAGCTCATCGAGCCGCGCTCTTCTCACGGCAGCCCCCCCAGAGGCTGCCTGAGCATCTGCGCCCCATCTCCGACCAAGCTCTGCACCATGGCGGTGTCGAGCGTCGCGTCAACTTGGGGCGCGGCCAGCGGCTACGAGACCACCCCGGCGACGCCGTCATCCAGAAGCTCACTCACCTGAAGGCGGCGATGCGGCAGGCCGGCCGCAACCTGGACCGATATTGGGTCGGCTGCCCGTCTGCAGAGACGCTGGGGGACCTCCTCGGGGTCACGCTCCGCTTTGTTCGGGCATGTGAGCGGGGCTGGGCAGGTGGGGTCTCGAGCGGCCTTCGCAGGCGACCCCGCCTAACCCTTGCGACTGCGACGGCAACGTCACGGCGAAGTTCCCGCAGAGCCGGGGCCGCGCCGTCGAGCTTGCCGGGGGCCGCGCCTTGGGCGGGCTAGGCAAATCTCGCGCGGGCCTCGGCAGCGGAAATGAACATCAGGCTGCTCGGGCGCGCTCTCGCAACGCGCGCATCATATTGCATCATATTTCGGCTCCGCCCAGACCGCTCTGCGACGGTGCATTCTGTCATGGGCCAGAGCGGGGGGCAGAGGGCCGCGCCCGCGGGGATAGCAGAAGCCACGCAGTAGCACTGGGGCAAGGTCTTCAAGGGGAAGGGTCTCGACGCTTCCTAGATGGAGGAGTGGCTGGAGGAGGGCGGAGACTACCGTCTATTAGCTAATTTCGCACCGTTCTCGAGGCGCTGCTTCCGCCTCAAGGAGACGCGCATCCAGCAGGCGATCCGATTGTCCAAGAGCTCTTGCCCGGGCCCAGATGGCATTGAATGTCTAGCGCGGCGGCGCGCCGAGAAGTTGGCAGTGGACGCGTTGCGCGAGACTTTCAGCGACATCTGCGGGGAAGACGGGCCCAGCCGACTGGCAGAGTTCGGCGCGGATTTCAACCGCAGCTTGCTGTTCTTCATTCCAAAGGGCCCCCCGGAGCGGTCCGCGCAGGATGAGTTTTACCACGCCGTGGACAAGGTGCGCCCGCTGAACGCAACCAACGTCGACAACCGATTGTCGGCCAACGCGTCGCGGCTGGTGGTCGAGGACGCCGCGGCGGACGGGATTGCCACCTCACAGAGGGGCTTCTTGCCAGGGAGATCGACGCTTCCCAATGTCGCGGACGTGGACGAGGGCATGGCAGATCACAACTTGACCGAGCCCACGTCGGCAGCCATCTTCTTTGATTTCGAGGCGGCCTTTTCGTCCATCTAGCGCGGCTTCATGCTTCGCTTGTTTCGCCACTACGGCTGGCCCGAATGGCTCATGCGTTTCGTCGGCGCACTCTACCAGGACAGCTTTCGCGAGATCGTGATGATTGGGGCGCGCATTTCCGGCTTCGAACTGTCTCGAGGAGTTCGGCAGGGGCGCCCGCTGTCTCCGCTGCTTTTTGCCGTCGCGTCGGACTTGCTCTTGCGCCGTCTGCAGCGACTCGCCCCCGCAGCGCTGATCAGGGCCTGCGCTGCTGACCTCGTCATCGTGGTTGCTCGTGTGCCAAAGAAGCTTCCGATGCTTCGCCGCTTGTTTGACGAGTGTGCGAGATTGTCTGGAACGCGTCTCAATTTCAAGAAGTGCGTCATCGTTCCGCCGTTCGGGCACGCCGCGCTGGACCTCCGCGCGGCGGTTTCCGCGCGCGCGCCAGCTTGCGGAGCAATGGCAATCAAGGACAAGGAAAAGTACATCGGCTTCGTTTTGGGCCCCGGGGCAGGCGAGGACTCCTGGCTCGGACTTATGGGCGAAGATGGTGGACAGGGCCACGACGTGGGGCGCGCTCGGCCCTGGCGTCTTCTTCACATGCGAGGCATTTCGCGTCTTCCTTGCTTCGGTTGTCATGTTCGCCGCCCAACTTAGACCGCTGCCAGAGGCCTTCGGCGCCACCGAAAGCCGGGCCTGCTCGAGGCTTTTCCCGGGCCCGAGCTCGTGGACAACCCTTGCGCCCATGGCCCAGCTGAAGAACATCGGTTTCCCGCGCGAGCTCATGGACGTCCGCTGCGCAGCGATTGTCGCGCAGGCCAGGGGCGCGCACTTCGAGGGCATCCGACGCGGTGGCCTGCGGGTGCGAGAACGAGCCCGACATCTCCGGGAGCTCATGCTCGGCGACGACAGGGGGGCGCCACCGCCCGGAGTGAGCGCACGGCCGGATAATAACACCGCGTTTGTCTTGCAGGCGGCAGAGGAGCACGCGCGCGACGCAGGACGTCGCCACGGGCTTCCTCCGACCCGCGCGGCCTCGACGCCGGGCAAGTTCAAGGTGAAGGCGCCCTGGCAGGCCACGCGCGCGCGGGCGCTGCTGGCGGATCGCCCCCGGGCCCCGGCCGACGCGCTGATCCGCCGGAAGCTGGATCTTTGGCCCGCGGAGATGCCCAGCGGTGGCTGGGTGAGTGAGTGGGTGAGTGGAACGCCAAAGTTGATGATGACGACTATTGTTTAACATACAAGTGGTCCCGTGCATTCTCCGACTCCATCTTTTCCAGATGTTTAGAACGCTTGAGGAGCATGGGGCCAAGTTCGGAGCTGTTGATATATCCCACGGGAAAACCACTCAGAAGAAAGTCGCCCTGGACCTTAAAACTTACATGGTTTGGTGAAGTCTGGGCACCTCGGATTTTGAAGATGCACCCTGAGGCCTCCAAGAATGACATCGATCTGTGTGTTACTCGTCTGGGATGTATAGGTGACAAGCTACCGCCCTTTGTTCACACGTCGGTGTTGAAAACGGTCTGCAATGCATGGAACACTACCCGTCGTTATCGGCAGAAAGTTATCCTTGTGTATTTGGGTGCATGAATCTCGGTGCTGACTGTCTTGACCACTATGTACGGTGCCTTGTGATAGTTGAGTATGCGCGTTCCCTCCTTCGTTATCTACCCGCGAGCTGGGGCAATGATTGGTTGCAGGTTGCTTTCCCCCACCTCTGGCAGGCACGCACGTCTGAGAGCCTCATGTCTCATGCAGTTGCTTTGGATTGTATTCATTCTGATTTTGCGCGCGTCGCACCCGTCGCCCCTCGTCGTCGTTCGCCCGCGGCGCCATTCTTGCTCGGCTTCGTGCATCCGCACGTCGCTCTCGGCAGGTGCGGGCCTTAGCCACTAGGCCCAGTGGGTAGGGATCCCAGGTGTGCGCCTCCTCTCTCTCCTTTGGAATAGCCGCCCTATGCGCAAGTGCCCGGGCCAGTTGGTAAACGCGCGGCCGCGCAGGGCCGATTTACTCGTAATCTGGCTCGCTTCCCGGAGCGAGCGGTCGGGTCAGACCGCATCGCACTGCTGCCGCTTGGGATGCGCGGCCGGGATTCCGAATTCAGGTGCAAGCTAATTCAGAGAGTGTTGGAGGTCGGAGTTTGTCTGCAACTTCGACGGATTCCAATCATCCCCCTCCTTTTTTCCTCCCGCGCTCGCCCACTGGAGGCGGATGTCTGGCGAGCCCCTCCGGGGTGGGCCAGCACTTCGCCTCCTCTGCCTGCCTCCCCCTTCCTCCCCCCCAATTCGTGCAGTGAGCTTGGGCGTTCTCGCCCACGTCGCCAGCATTCCCGGCACTCGGCTGGCGGCAAGCTGTCCTCCAGAATTTGATCTCTCTTCTTTCCGGGCGCTACGCGAGTGGCCGTTTAGAATTGCCACCGCACGGCTTCCATGATTATCGGCGCGGGCGCGTCGATTGTTGCATTGTCTCGGTGTTCTCTCGTCTCTGCTGCTCTCTTGCTTCTGCTGCTGCTCCCCCCCTTCCAGCGTTGTGTCTATATGGCGTTCTGTGTCAGGTAATTATAGTTTCGCCTCCTTGGCATTGCGTCGTGGCTCATGCCACTTCGCCTTCAATCCGGGTTTTCGCCATGGTCAGCTGATGTTGCGACTGGGCGGTTCGTTTCGTCGTGAGCGTGCAGTTTGCGTGTTGATTCACGGGAGTTCTTACAGTTACGCGGGCCACGCGGCCGAGACAGCAGATGTTTGTTTTCAGGGGCCGGATGATTCCGGGGCTATTGCAGGTTTCTGCCATCATCTCTGCATTGTTGCCGGTTCTCTGGCGCGGGGGTGATACGTTTTCCGGCGGATTCGTATCTTGTGTTATTTGCCTTGTTGTTTCCTGCGTCCGAGGAAGAACGCGGTTTTCAAGTGCAACCAGCATTCGCGCTACGACGGTGGTTTTTGAATCTTGCGGTCCGCTCTCAGAACAAAGTTTCGAGCCTTGTACTTTGCCAGGGTCCGGCCAGGGCGGAGTTCAAGCCCAATTATCTTGCGCACGACGTCTCGGAGGCTGTCAGACTGGGCAACGCCCATGCCCAGGCGCATCGGCGAAACTTCGGCTCATAAGAACATTTTTCTCTTGAGGTATTTCTGGTAACACCGTAGTTCTGTGACCTGGGATTGAGCCTCGGAGCCAAAAACACGACTCGCCAGCCTCGCACACATTGCCGTAGGCGCGGTGGCAGCCGTTCGTTCGCACCCTGGCAGCTCGGCGTCGCAAGGGCATTGCCATGTACGTACGCAAGTTTCTTGGACGGAGTGGCAGCGCGGGCACAAATCGTTATTTCCCCCCCAGCTACATGTTTGACCCGTTCCTTCGGCCAGGAACTACACGTATGAGTGACCTTTCGCCGGAGTGACCTTACTTTGGTTCGGGCCTAATGGGGTGCCCCGATCGCCGAAGGCGGTGAATTTGTAGCGTTTGGCGAGTTTGTGTTGGGCCCCCGCGCGACCCGCAAAAGGCCGCGCACCAAATGTCATTCTTACCCAGGTCACTCTTGCGTGTAATCGACATGGCAGCAGTCGCTACCGCGCCGCGAAATTGATGCGAGCGCTCGCGCTCCAAGCGGGCCAACACGCTTCAAACTGCAAGGTGTGCGCCGGGTCAATCGGCCGCCCGTTTCCAGAGGAGGTTCTGCATGGAACTGGCTATTGTTTGCATGAGCCCACAGGCGCCGAGAACGCTCAGAGCCTCTGGGCCAGCGCATGCGTGTAATTGCCAGGCGCGGCCTGCTGGATCCACGCATCGCCACAGACCCTGCGGCTGCCATCCCACGTTCAACTGCATGGTCATCAGGGCGCTGAGGGGGCCCAGCATTCGCCTCCAACGACGCTTGGGCGGCAAGGCATTCAGTTTGGCCTGGCAGCGCTCCCATGCACAAGCTAAGCGTTCATGGATCCCAGAAGCGCTGGGCAACAAATTGGAACCATTCGAAACAGATGCCAATGCGGCATGAGCCTTGAGTCATAGCAAGGGCAGTTGTGAGACGACGGCCATATGCCGCTTGTTTGCAGAAGTGCCTGCCGTAGCTCGGCGAACATGCGTCGTGCGACCCGTCGCCTTACCAAATCATATCCTCGCATAGGTGCCTTGGGATACCGCGCCAGTAGTGAAACGCCGTCGCCCAATGCTGCTTTTGATGGCTCTATGCCGCTTGATAGCGGTCGCGCGACGTAGGGCCTTGCGCCATTGCAGGGACCCCTTGTGCCTATGGCTCCTGAGCCTGAGGAGGAGGAGGAGGAGGAAGAGGAAGAGGAGGATGAGGAGGATGAGGAGGAGGAGCAGCAGCAGCAGCAACAGCAGCAGGAGCACCAGGAGCAGCAGGAGCAGCAGGAGGAGGAGTGGCCTCCAGAGTCCCCTGGAGGCCTCTAGGGTACCTTGGGAGCCGCCGGGGGCCTCCAGGGACTCTGTAGGCCTCGGGTCACCCTTGGAGGAGCCTTTCATTAGGCGTCGCGTAGTGGGGGGGGGGCGATAAAAGTGGGGGTCGCGAGGGCTGCAGAAAAAGGAGCCCTTCAGAGCCCCTACCGGGGCCCTCTATAGGGCCCAAGAGGGGGCCTTCAAGGCCCGAGAAGTCCACCTTTTTCCCCTCCCGTTTATCGCCCCCCCCGAGTAAGCGACGCCCAACCCCTTGGGATAGTGGCCCGGGGGGGGGGAGAGCATCGACATCCGATCGCCCCCTCATCGCCTATCGGGGCGCGGGCGCCCGAGCCCTGCCTGGCAACGCGCTGGGGTCTCTTCCGGGGGGGCCGCGCTGGGGTCTCTTCCGGGGGGGCCGACCGCCGATCTTTCGGCGATGCATCGCCGAGCGAGGGACGATGTTCCGTTCTGTGATGCTCTCGCGAGAAGGATGGCTGCCGAGGGCGGCCAGGGTTGGAAAGGGGGGGAGGGGGCCAGTAACGTCACGATTTGCGTCGGCGCCGTTTGGGAATCAGACGCCCCTGACCATTCCCAGACGGCGCTGGTGCGAATCGTGACGTTTTTCGGAGGGGTGGGTGGGAAGGGGGCGGGGTGTCTCTGGTCACGGGCGTTATCGCGAACCGTTAAAACGCAGTCTTGGCACCCCTCCTTCGCCCTGAGGAGAATATTGGAGGCCTATCGCGGCGCGTACAAGTTGTACAATCTAGTCTGCACGTCCTCCGCGTCAGATAAGGGACGACGTTCACGCGGCGATGTTCTGACGAATGTCCGACGTACATCCGACGGAAGTCCGACGCAATTCGACGTAAACCCGACGTACATTCGTTGCGGATCCGACGTCCACTGGGTCTCAAGTTGCCACGCAAGACCTCCAGGACTTTGCTCATGACTTTCGCCCCCCTCAGGAGCCCGCGGGCCCAGGCTAGCCAAGGCCGGGGTCGCGCGGACGGAGGCGGCGGCGGCTCCGACGACGGCGAGGTTTCCGGGCCTTCGGCCCCCCCCCCCTCTCCTCGACACCACGGCGGCGCGCAGGGTGGCCAAGGCCAGGGCGTGGGCTCGCTTCGCCCGGGTCTCGCTGCGCCCGGCTCGCTTCGCCCTGCTCGCTTCGCACGGGGCTTGCTTCGCCCAGCTCGCTTCGCCCAGGGCTTGCTTTGCCCAGGCTCGCTTCGCCCAGGGTCATTTCGCCGGGCTCGTTTCGCCCGGCTCGCTTCGCTCGGCTTCGCCCGGGGCTTGCTTTGCCCGGCGGTGACATACCGTGCGGTGTCTTCGAGGAGGGAGGAGGAGGGAGGAGTGACGAGGGGGAGGGACAAGGAGGGAGGGGGAGGAGGAGGAGGAGGAGGAGGAGGAGGAGGAGGAGGAGGAGGAGGAGCCCCGGTCGGCGCACCCCCTCGTCTCCGGGGCTTGCTTGCCGCTGAGCGGCGTGCTTGTCCTGGGGTTGGGGGTTTGCGCCGGCCTCCGATCAAAGTGCTTCCGGCGCGCGGCAGACACGCGGCCGCCGCAGGAGGAGGAGGAGGAGGAGGAGGAGGAGGAGGAGGAGGGAGGAGGAAAAGGGACGAGGAGGGAAAGGAGGGAGGAGGAGGAAGGAAGGAGGAGGAGGGAGGGACGAGGAGGAGGGAGGAGGAGGGAGGAGGAGGAGGAGAGGAGGAGGAGGAAGGAGGAGGAGGAGAGGGAGGGAGGAGGATGGACGAGGACGAGGACGAGGACGAGGACGAGGACGAGACGAGGACGAGGACGAGGGAGAGGAGGAGGAGGAGGAGGAGGAGGAGGAGGAGGAGGAGGAGGAGGAGGAGGGGAGGAGGAGGAGGGGGAGGACGGAGGAGGGAGGAGGGAGGATGGAGGAGGAGTTGGTAAGAGGGAGGAGGGAGGAGGGAGGAGGAGGAGGAGGAAGGAGGAGGAGGAGGAAGAGACGAGGAGGAGGGAGGAGGAGGGAGGAGGAGGGAGGGGGAGAGAGGAGGAGGGCGCAGGAGGAGGAGGAGGGGGAGGAGCCGACGGAGGAGGAGGAGGAGGAGGAGGAGGAGGAGGAAAAGGAAAAGGAGGAAGAGGAGAGGAGGAAGAGGAGGAAGAGGAGGAGGAGGAGGAGGAAAAAGGAGGGGAGGAGGAGGAGAGGAAGAGGAAGAGGAGGATGAGGAGGAGGAGGAGGGGAGAATAATAATGAGAAGAAGAAGAAGAAGAAGAAGAGGAGGAGGAGGAGGAGGAGCAGGAGAGGAGGGGGAGGGCGGAGGAGGAGGGCGGGAGGAGGAGGAGGAGGAGGAGGAGGAGGAGGAGGAGGAGCAGGGGGAGGAGGAGGAGGAGGAGGAGGAGGAGGAGGAGGAGTGGGCGGTCAATATTGTTTACCTGTGCGATTGCGAGGTCGCCAGCGTGACGTGCGCGCCGCGCTTCGACCTGGTCGGTCTTGCAACGGGTAGCGCGTGCGGCTGTCGTGGGGGAGCCCCATGAGTGGGGGAGGAAGAGGAGGAGAAGGAAGAGGATGAGGAGTAGGAGAAGGAGAGGGAGGAGGAGGAGGAGGAGGGAGGAGGAGGAGGAGGAGGAGAAGGAGGGAAGAGGAGGAGGATGAGGGAGAGGAGGAGGAGGAGGAGGAAGAGGAGAGGAGGAAGAGGAGGAGGAGGAGGAGGAGGAGGAGGAGGGGGGAGGAGGGAGGAGGAGGAGGAGGAGAGGAGGAGGCGGATGCAGAGGAGGGGGGAGGAGGGAGGGAGGGAGGAGGAGGAGGAGGAGGAGGAGGAGGCGGAGAAGGAGGAGGAGGAGGAGAAGGCGGAGGCGGAGGAGTGGGAGGAGGAGGAGGAGGAGGAGGAGGAGGAGGAGGAGGAGGAGGAGGAGGAGGAGGAGGGAGGAGGAGGAGGAGGAGGAGGAGGAGGAGGAGGAGGAGGAGGAGGAGGAGGAGGAGGAGGAGGAGGAGGAGGAGGAGGAGGAGGAGGAGGAGGAGGAGGAGGAGGAGGAGAGGGAGGAGGAGGAGGAGGAGGAGGAGGAGGAGGAGGGAGGAGGAGGAGGAGGAGGAGGAGGAGGAGGAGGAGGAGGAGGAGGAGGAGGAGGAGGAGGAGGGAGGAGGAGGAGGAGAGGAGGAGGAGGAGGAGATCAGAAGGCAGCTCGATCGCGGCGGTCGCCACCAGCATGCGCCCTTGTCCTCCGCGGGGTATTCGTCCGCCCGCTCGACCCGACCCGACCTGCCCGTTGAGGTCCGCCCGCCCGACCCGACTCGTCCCGCCCATTAGGGCGTTCGCGCGCCATCTGAATTATTCACCACATTCAAATGTCCAGCCCGCCAGACCCGACCCGCCCGATAAGGTTCGCCCGCCCCACCCGATCCGACCTGTCCGTTAGGGCCCGCCCACCCGACCCGACCCGACCCGACCCGCCCGTTAGGGTTCTCGCGTGCTCTTTCGTGTACGCGCCTTTTTTTTAAGTCCCGCCTGCCCGACCCGACCCGACCGCTAGGGCCCGCCCGCTCGACCCAACTCGGCCCGCCCGTTAGGGTCCGCCCGCCCGACCCGACCCAAACCGCCCGTTTGGGCTCTCGCGCGCCATGCCGATGATGCGCCACATTTTAATGCCCCCCTACCGCCCGACCCGAACCACCCGATGGGTCCAGCCGCCCAGCTCGACCAGACCCGCCCGTTAGGGTCCGCCCGATCCGGTCCGACCTGCTCTTTGGGGTTCTCGCGTGTTCGCATGTGTATGCGCCAAGGTTTAATGTCGCGCCCGCCCGACACGACCCGCCCGTTCGGGTGCGGCTGTCCGACCCGATCCGCCCATTAGGGCTTGGGCGCTCGGTCGTGTATGCGCGACATTTTAGTGTCCCGCCCGCCTGGCCCGACCCGCCCGTTAGGGTCCGCCCGCCCGACCCGACCCGACCCGCCCGTTTGGGCGCTCGCGTGACATCTCGATCCTGACCTCATTTTAATGTCCCGCCGGCCAGACCCGACCCGCCCGATAAGGTCCGCCCACCCGACCCGACCCGACCCGACCCGCCCGTTAGGGTCTGCCCGCCCGACCTGACCCGACCCGCCCATTAGGGTTTTGCGTGTTCGGTCGTGCATGCGCCAGAATTTAATGTCCCGCGCGCCCCGCCCGACCCGCCGTTTTAGGGTCCGCCCGCCCTGCCCGACTTGACCCGCCCGTTAGGGCCCCCCCGCCCGGCCCGACCTGACCCGCCCGTTTGGGCTCTCGCGTGCCATTTCGATTATGCACCACATTTTAATGCCCCCCGCCCGCCCGACCCGACCCGCCCGATACGGTTCGCCCGCCCGACCCGACCCGACCCGCCTCCGCCCGACCCGACCCGACCCGCCCGTTAGGGTTCTCGCGTGTTCTCTCTTTCGCGCGCCACAATTTAATGTCAGTTTGTGGTTAACAACTTCGTGGGGGGCGCGGAAACATAGTTCCCCTGCTCGGGCGAATGGCGGGGTGGCGCCCGCCAGATTGAAAATCAACGGGGCGGCGCTGGTGATTAGCGTCGACACCTGGCCGCCGACGAGGGGCAAAGGGGGGGTGATTGGAGGCAAGGGCGAGCCAGGGCGCCCCTCTTTCTGTCGAGCCGATGCGGGCCTGCGAGCAAGCCGGGCTGGACGAGAGTGGGGCGCAGCTAAGGGGGACTTGCCAAGCAGTTCACTTCGCCGATTTTCCAAGCGCCTCGTGGTGCCGAAAGCGGCCATGCGTCGAGGACGGGCCCGTCGGCGGGGCAACCGAAACCAGCTGCGCGCAGCAGGCATTGCCCCCTTTCCATCCTCAGCCTTTCGTCCGACCCGAGCGAAGCGGATAGTCCTCCTCCCCGCTTCTGTCGCCGTCGTCGCCGCCGTTCCCCGCCATGCCTGCGCCCGTTTCGTTTTTTCCTCCTCCTATTATTATTAGGTATTCGTCGTCCTCCTCCTCCTCCTCCTTCTCCTCCTTTTCCTCGTCCTCCTCATTATCCTTTTTCTCCCACCTCCCCCTCCCTTTTCCTCCCCCCCCCCCCCGGCGCGCGTAATTCTACAGAAATATCGCGGCCCGCGGGGTTTATTCAGCAGCCATGGGGGGGAGGGCGGTCCGGCCATTTGGTAATCACACGTTGACATTCATGCCCCGCCCGGCCCGACCCGCCCGCTAGGGTCCAGACCCGACCCGCCCATCATAGCTCACGCGCGGTCGGTCGTGCATGCCCCACACGTTGATGATTGGCCGCCCGCCCGACCCGACCCGCCCGTTTGGGTCCGCCCGCCCGACCCGACCCGTCCCGACCCGCTCGTTCGGGTCAGGTTGTTGTTCCACCTCGCTCTTTTCATCCTCCTCCTCCTCCTCCTCCTCCTCTTCCTCATCCTGGTCCTCCTCTGCGTTCTCCCCGTTTCGGATACCGAACGCCAGCGAAGCAAACCCGGGCGAAACGATATTTTGGCGAAGGGAGAAGAACCCCGGCGAAACGAACCCCGCCGAAACAAACTCAGGCAAAGCGAGCCCCGGCGAGGCGAACCCCGGCGAAACGAGATTCCGGCAAAACGACTGCCGTGCCCCTCCTATTTCGCCTCCGCCTCCCCCTCCTCCGCCTCCTCCTCTTCCCCCTCATTTCTTCATTTCTTCATCTCCTCCTCCCCTTCTCCTTCTCCTCCTCCTCCTCCTCCTCCTCCTCCTCCTCCTCCTCCTCCTCCTCCTCCTCCCCCCTGCTGCTGCTGCTGCTGCTGCTGCTGCTGCTGCTGCTGCTGCTGCTGCTGCTGCTGCTGCTGCGCTTCTACTGCTGCTGCTGCTGTTCCTGTTCCTCTGCCCCCGCCGCCGACGCCTGACGACAGATGGCTGGCGACGGACGACGATTGCGCCGCGGCCGCAGGGCGGCCGAAGGCCAGCCGACGAGGCCGCCGACGGCATCCGAGTGGGCCGCCGACGGGATCCGAACCGGCCAACCGACGAGCCGCCTGCAACCCGCGAGGCGCTACTGGCGGGTGCCCTCCTGGCGAGCGCCGCCGCGGCGGCCCGCTGCGGGCCGGCGCTGCGCGGCGGCGTCGCCGCGAGGAGCCACCGGCGCTGCGTTGGTCGGTCGGTCGGTCGGCGAGTCGGTCGGTCGGGCCGTCGGTCCGTCGGTCCGTCGTCGTCATCGTGTTCGTCGTCGTCGTCGTCGTCGTCATTGTCGTCGTCATCTGCGGTCGAGGTCTGAGGATGGAGATGCGAGGATGAGCTTTTCGAGCGATGTTTGTTTGGCATGGGACTCCAGGGAACGTTCCGTCGCCACAGGTAGACCCGAAATGCTGACAAGACACCCCTTGGTCGTCGTCGTCGTCGTCGTCGTCGTCGTCGTCGTCGGTTCGTCGTCGGTTCGTCGTCATCCTCCTCCATTCCTGCCTCTCTTCCTGCCACCTCTGGGCCCACGAGAAGGGAAGAGGGGGGGAAGGGTGGTCTGAAAACTTTGCTGTAGGTTTATGGCGTTTTCGTTGACCCTTTCTGGCCTCCGCTTTCTTGAGGCCTCCAGGGACCGCTGGGGACCTCCAGGGGCGCCCACGGGTGGGAGGAGTGAGAAATGATGAGGAAGGAACGGGAACAGGCGACGGGGAATGCGAGGAAGGAAGAACGAAGCGAGAGGCGAGAAGAGGGTGGATGCAGGCAGGCAGCATGAACATCGAAGGATGCATGAGAATGAGGAGGAAGGGGAGATGGTGGTGGTGGTGGCAGTGGTGGTCGTGAAGGAAGTGGTGGTGAAAGTGGTGGTGGAATTGGAGGTGGATGTGGAGTTGGAGGGAGGGGGGGAGTTTGGGTGAGGACTAGAAGGCCTATAGGAGCATGCGGCAACGGAAGTCGACAAATGAGGACGACGAGAAGGAGGATGAGGAGAAGGAGGAGGAGGAGAAGGAAGAGCAGGAGGAGGAGGAGGAGGTGGAGCACCAGCAGAAGGAGGAGAGGACGTGCTGACCACCTGCTCCGTTTAGCCGACCAGCTTCGCAAAGGGCAGATTGACGACTTGCACTGGTGCGATTCACGGGACATGCGGGCCGGCCCCATGACCAAGCCTAGAGCTAATTTTCAGCGTGATGGATTGCCAGATCAGCTATGAGCATGCAACGGTCAAGTTCAGCGACGAGAAGCTGAATAATACCGTCCAGAGCTCACAGCACAGCTCACTCACACAGAAATGAGGAGATGACTCGCGTGACTGTGTCGCGAGGTCACACGAAGTCGGAAAGCGGATATACGAGACCAACGTGCGAGATTGATGAAATGAACATTCAAGTGCGCGGGCTCGCGCGAATTGTGTCCATGCAGCTCGTGTTTTGTTGATATAGAAGGTGCTCCTTTAATCATATTACCGCATCGTGGTTTTTGTTTTGGGATAAATGCATGCCCTGACTAATCTCGTGAGCTCTGCCAGGAAACAACTTCCGCCGTAAAGCAGTTTTTGCGGCTGGCGCCGTGGGGGGCCAAAGTGATTTTGAGATGGAGCGAAGTCTGACAACTCCGTGGCATGCCGAAACCAGGTTGAGGCGTCCTTTCGCAGCCAGGCACTTTTTTTATTATGAAAACGGGCGTTTCGTAGAGCCCCACCTTGCACTGTCCTATTAAGTTTCCGACGAACGGGTGTCAACACCATATTTGAACGGTAATCCACCTGTTCCTTCGCGCCTATGCCTGTTGTAGTGGTTTCCCCTTTGCCGCTGACTTTTTGAATCTGGGGCGCGGCAGCTGGCCAAGTTTCCACGTCCGCCGTAGACCACCTTCAGGTATCTTCCTGATGACCATATACCATTCCGCCTTCACAAGGATACTGATGAGTACGCGTTTCACCTTGTACATCCTGATTTCTGGTCCGTGCCCCTCCCTGCCCGGCAGGAGGCCTGGCCGCCGCGAGGGCCCCGAGGCGGGTGCGGGCCCGGAAGCCGCCTGCGTGCTGCACTCTCTCGAGGAAGAGACCGACGAGGCCCGGCGCGGGAAGCTGCAGACTTGGGAGCACCTCTATCTGCCCTCCCCTCGCACCCGGCTCGGGCTCCTCCCCATCCCTTCCCTCCCCTCCCGTTCCCTCCCTCCCTCCCCCTTTCTACCCCCTGTCCCTCGCCCTCGTCGTCGTTGCCGTCGTCGTTTTCTTCCTCCTCCTGCTTCTCTTCCCCCCGCCTCGAGGAAAGGACGGACGGGGCCCGCGCCTGGCCTGGGGGTGCTCGCGTTCTCTGGAGGATGACGCGTGTGGGAGGAGGGTCCGCTTGAAGGAACAGGGCCGCAGGAAAAGCGTCCTTAGGATTCAGGATGAACGACTCAGGATGAAGAGCGGTTCAGGATAAAAGATCCATTCAGCAGGTGTCCAGGACCCGCTTCCACCAGCCTCTATGTTTTTCCATTGGGCAGTCAAGCAGTGGGTGTTCGCGTTCATTGAGGCCCTGGGGGGATGAGGGAAGGAGGGAGGGAGGGAGGGACAGCGGGAGGGGAGGGGAAGAGGAGGAGGAGGAGGACGAGGAGGAGGAGGGCGAGGAGGAGGAGGAGGAGGAAGAGGAAGAGGAGGAGGACGACGAGGAGGAGGACGATGAGGAGGAAGAGGAGGAAGAGGAGGAGAGGGAGGGCGGGAGGGACACACGGACGGAACGAGGAAGGGGGAGAAGGAAAGAGTAGGGGGTGTTGATGTAAGTGTTGTGTTTGGTTGGTGATGGTGATGAGAATAATGATGATGCTGAATTTGATGATATTGATGTTGCTGGTGATGATGATTATGATGATCATGGTGCTGATGATGATGAGGATGATGGTTATGTTGTTGCTGCTGATAATGATCATGGTGATTATGATGAGTACGATTATGCTGATGATGATGTTGATGATGCTAATTGTGATGACGATGCCGATGATAATGCTGATCATGATGCTTGTGATGATGCTGATGATGATGATACTGATGGTGATGGTGATAGTGATGATGGTGCTCATGGTTTTGATTAGGATGATGACGACGATGCCGACACCTATGCTGGTGCTGATGTTGGTGCAATTGATGCTGATGCTGCTTATGCTGCTGATGATGATGATGATGATGATGATGATGACGAGGAGGAGGAGGAGGAGGACGATGAGCAGGAGGAGCAGGAGGAGGAAGGAGATGGAAAGGCATAGGGCGTGGAGGAGAACGATAAGGATAAGGAGTAGCATGAAGGAGAAGGATCGGTGAGATGGATGAGCAACAATCAGGTCTGTACCATTGGGTGCAGGAGGTGCCGCATGATGTGGAGGGTGGGGACGATGTTGGCGAAGACGACGTGGAGGATGAGGGGAGGAAGATGGAGTCACGATTCCCTGCTGCTTCGCCACCGCGAGGGCTCCCCGTACCAGACTCCCCCTCTTCTTGAGTTCCTTTACACGTCTCTGGAGGTCTGCGGGGGCCCCTGGTGGTTGTGGTCTCTCAAGGGCCATTAGTGGTCTCGAGAGGCCTCTGGAGACCCTTGGAGGGCCGAAACGGGCAGGACTCACAAAACCTCCAGAGACCCCTAGAGGGCCCAAACGGGGGTAAGCATACAACAGCAAGTGGTTCCTCCTCGTCGTTGCCCTTGCCTCCGAGGTCGTCGTGGTGGCGTCCAGCGACGGCACCATGAGCTCGCGGTCTCATCGGCAGATGTCCGTGTCGTCGAGGCACGACGGGCGCTGACAGGGGCCAGCTCGCGCTGCGGCACCCGCCATCCTCGCCAGGCACCAGATCGACTACACGTAAAAGGAGCGACCCTTCGCCAGAGTGACCTTTGGTGCGGGCTCATTGGGGTCCCCCGATCGCCAAATGCGATGCGATAGTAGCGTCTTGCGCGCTTTTGTCTGGCGGCCACCAGAAAGCCGCGCACCAAAGGTCACTCTTACCCAGGGTCACTCTTGCGTGAAGTCGGCCAGAGCGTTGGAGGAATGCGTCGTTTCACAGGGCTCGGCGGGCACGACCCTTGCCCGTCCGACTTTTTTGGCGGGTTCTCGAGAGATCCGGCAGCGGGGGGGAGAGAGCAGGAGGGCGGGAGGAGCGGGGGCAGGGACAGGAGGACGGGAGCAGAAGGAGGGCAGAGGAGGAAGAGGAGGGAGGGAGTTGGAGAGGAGGGCGATGGAGGGAGGGAGTTGGAGAGGAGGGCGATGATGATGCTGATGCTTATGCTGATGCTGATGCTGGTGATGACGCTGATGATGAAGCTGATGATGATGCTGATGATGAACATGATGAAGATGATGAACATGATGAACATGATGATGGTGATGATGATGATGATGATCGTGCTGATGATGATTATGATGCTGATGCTGATGCTGATGCTGATGTTGATGATGCTGATGATGATGATGATGATGATGATGAGGATGAGGATGATGAGGATGATGATGATGATGATGATGATGATGATGATGATGATGATGATGATGATGATGTGGTGGAGGAGGAGGAGGAGGAGGCGGAGAAGGGGGACAAGGAGGAGGTGACCTGAATCATCAGGAGGAGAAGGAGAAGGAGGAGGGAACGGGGAGGTCGGGGTGGAGAGGAAGGGGCGGGGGAGAGGCAGGGTGGAGGAAGGAAATTGAGGAGCAGTGTCGGGATGAAGGATGCAAGTGGGGGAGGCTGAGGATTAGGTGATGCGAGATTGCAGGGCCACGCGCGACCGCTCACCGAGTGTCATGTCGAGCATGCTCCAGGGCGCGCGTATTCATCTCCGTCGCCCGCCAGAGGGATTAGAGGGACAGAGGTGGAGGGGGACAGGAGGGAGAGGGGAAGGGGTAGGGGAAGGGGTGGAAGTGCATGGGTGAGGATGATGCCCGAGCGAAGGTGCATATTTGTGGTGATGATAGTGATTGTGGTGATGATGATGATGATGATGATGATGCTGATGATGATGATGATGATGATGATGATGATGATGATGATGATGACGATCATGATGATGATGATGCTAATGATGATCATGATGCGAGAACGATGAGGATGATCAGAAGGAGAGGCAGGATGATGATGCCGATGATCTTGCTGCTGATGATGATGATGACCCTGCCTGATGATGATACTGATGATGACGATAATTTTGAGGACGACGGCGATGATGATGACGATAATGATGATGCTGATGATGATCATGATGATCATGATGATCATGATGATCATGATGATGACTATGATGTGCTGCTGACAATGGTGACGATGATGGTGATGATGGTGTTGCTTATGATGGGGATTATGGCGATTGTGATTGTGATGATGATAATCATGATGAGGTGATTATATCGATGATGCTGATGCGGATTACGATGCCGATCATGATGTTGTTGCTACTGCTGCTGCTGCTGCTGGTGCAAATGCTCATGCTGATGATGGTGCTGATGATGATGTCGACGAGTACGTACGAGGATGATGATGACGACTACGTCGACGATGATGTTTCTGCTGATGATCATGACGATGCTGTTGATGATGCTGATGATGTTGATACTGATGATGATGCTGATGCTGATGGTGACGATGACGATGATGATGATGCTGATGATGCTGATGATGATAATGGTGGGTGTGATGACGATGTCGATAATGATGGTGATGCTACTGATGCTGTTGAAGATTATGATGAAGATTATGATCATGATGATGATGGTGATGATGATGCTGATGATGATGATGATGAACATGATGCTGAGTGGGGTGAGGTTGAGGATGGTGGCGGTAGTGATGTTGATGGTGAGGGCGGTGGTAATCATGACGATGGCGATGGCGATGATGATGATGTTGATGATGATGATGATGATGATGATGATGAGTATGACGATACTAATGGTGATGGTGATGCTGATGATAATGATGCTGTTGATGATGATGATGATGCTGATGGCGAGGAAGGTGGCGAGGATGATGCTAGTATTGAACTGGTTATTACTATGATGTTGATGCTGTAGCTGGTGTTGGCGATACTGGTGATACATGATGATGAGTGTGATGTCGTTGGTGTTGGCGATGCTGATTGTGGTGACGATGGTGGTGCTTATGCTGATCTTGGTGTTGATGATGATGGTGGTGATGATGGTGATTATGTTGAGGCTGTGGATGCTGACGATGATGTTGATGATGATGGTGATCGTGCTGTTGATGGTGAGCGTGAGTGTGGTGCTGATGATGGTCATGATGATGGCGAGGATGATGCTGGTCATGGTTATTGCAATGATGTTGATGGTGGGGATGCTGACGCGACGCTGAAGATGGTGTTGATTATGTTGCTGGGGATGCTGCTGATGATGATGGCGATGCTGATGATGATGCTGATGATGACGACGATGCTGCCGAGTATGATAATGCTGACGATGTGAATGCTGTTATGATAATGATTGAACGTGTGGCGATGATTGTGAGGACGATGATAGTAACGATGATGATGATGGTGATCATGACGATGATGATGTTGATGCTGACAACGATTGCAATACTAATGATTATGATGATGCTGATGAGGAGGAGGAGGAGGATGCTGACGATTAGGGGGATGTTGCTGCTGATGGTGATGATAATGGTGATGGTGATGGTGACGATGATGATGTTGATGGTGATGATGGTAATGATGATGATGATGCTGATGATCATAGTGTGATGCTGATGATGCTGCTGACGAGGACGACTATTGCGATGAGGATGAGGATGATGATCATGATGGTGATGATGATACTGCTGATGATGATGATCATGATCATGATGATGATGATGTTGATGCTGCTGATGATGATGATTCTAGCGGTGGTGCTGATGAGGATGAGGACGATCATGACAGACGTGGCGGTCGTTGGCTCAATGCTCGCGCGAAAGCACAATACGAAGACGACAAGGAGGGGGACGGAAGCTTGAGGAGGAGCAGGAGGGGGCGGAGGAGGAAGAGAGGTTTAATTCCAATCTGACCCCCGAAGGCCTCCCCGAGGGTGCTTGCGGTCTTCTGGCCCCTGTCTGTCACTCCGTCTCTCTCTCTCACTCTCGTTCTTTCTCCTTGACTCCATCTCTCTCTCTCTCTCTCTGACTCTCTCTCTTTTTCTCTCGCTCTCTCTCTCTCTCTCTCAGTTTCTCTCTCTTCCTCCCTTCTTTTCTTTACCCCTCCACTCCCATTCGCTGCCCTCCCCTTCCGTCCCCTTTCCCCCTCCCCGTGCACTTTTCCGTGCACTCCCCCTCTCATCTTTTTTTATTTCTATGTGTATTGATGTTACCCTTGGGTTCAAGCACAACCAGGCCAGACTGGGCCGCTGGACCCGGCCTGGGCCACCTCCTGTGGCATCCGTTATCAGGTAGGCCACGCGCGCGCGTTACCCGTCAGACACTTCCAGGCGCGATTCACGCGAGCGATGAACGAGCCATTTCCGTGTCGAATCAATACTGTGGTTCACATGCGTTGGTCTTAGCATTTGTTTTTTACACGATCAAGGCCGGCCGCACATGTCAACATCACGAGGTAATTGAATTCTCAAAACTAGTTGGTGAGTCATGTACCATAGCAATGCTTTTTTACATGCGCGCGCATGTATGCGACACTCATGAGAGGCAGGTGTGTTCTCATGAGATCCTTTTCAAGAGTATGTGACTTTGGCACGTTTGCCAGCGTTTACATAAAGCAGTGAATCATGTTACTCTGGACGTTTAAGCTATGCGGTGCATGCTACGAGATGCAACATGCGCGGTGCAACGTAGTTTGAAGGTGTTCGTTGCAATGCTCCAACTCCAAAAGTCTAGCAAACTTTACACTCACCCACTGGCAATTGGTTGTCAGGGCGAACTGGAGGAGTGACGCAAGGACCCATGACTCGGGCGGATCCGGGCTTGAGCGGGCTAGTTATGATGATTATGATGCTAATGATGATGATGATGATGATGATGATGGTGATGATGGCCCTGATGGCGAGGGCGACGACAACGAACAACGACGATGACGATGACGATGACAATGAAGATGGCAACCACGACGACGATGACGATGACGACGATGATGATGCTGATGCTGTTGTTGTTGTTGATTATAGTTGTGGGGATGCTGACGACGATGGTGATGGGGATGGTGCTAATGATGATGATGATGATTATGATGATGCTGCTGATGATTGTGATGATGATGATCATGATGATGATGCTTCTGCGGATGATGATGGTGATGAGGATGATGATGAGGATGATGATGGTTATGATGGTGGTGGTGATGATGATGACGATGATGACGATTATGACGATGATGATGATGCTGATGATGATGATTGTGAAGATGGTGATGATGACGATAATGATGATGACGACGATGGCGATGATGATGATGATGCTGATTACGAATATGATGATGATGACGATGATGATGATGATGATGATGATGATGGTGATGGTGATGGTGATGGTGATGTTGGTGATGGTGATGATGATGATGATGATGAGGAGGAGGAAGAGGAGGAGGATGATGATTGTGATGTTGACAATGATCACGCTGGCGATAAGTACAACGATGGTGCTCATAAGGATGATGAGGAAGTGCACCCGCAGACATCTTGGATGGCTGTCCTCATTCAAAGTGGAAATATGATTGTTGACCTGCTTTGAACACCCCTGCGCTGACACTTGTGTTTGACGTATTTGGGCATGCTCGCGTGGAGGCGCGCGTGTGGCCCGTAATGTCACGGAATTGGCGGGTTCGCCATGAATGTTGAATCTTTTTGGCATGTTGACAGAACAGTCTAACACATGAATTTCTCATCATTCCGGTCAGCACATGCATGCGCGCGGCGGCGCGCGCAGGTGCTCCGCATGGTGTACTCTGATAGGTGTTCTTACACAAGGCACTTGCTGGATCAACGCGAGTGCACCACATGGTTGCACTTGACATGGATGAGGGTGGGATGCGATAACGCGGTTGGACATGATTGATCGTTCATAATCAGAGCGGGCAAATAGCAATACGCGGAAACGAGCGGATCAACTCCCTTGGGCGGGGTGGGCGGGGGCAGAGGGGTACAACTCGTTCTTGGACTGGGAACCTAGATAGTGTGGAATCTATGTGATGCAAGCTATGCGGTGTAAGATCTGTGTTGCAAGCTGCGTGTGCCAGTTACGTGACGTAAGCTGCGTGGAACAGCGCAATGCCCACGAGGCACCCGTGTAAGGCGACCGAGGGAAGCACCGCAGCACCCAGCCAGCGCACGAGGCGCCCACGAGGCGCCCACGGGCGACAACCGGGCGAATTCCCGGCGCAGGCAACCTGGACAGCGCACGAGGCGCCAACGACGAGGCGCCCACAGGCTGCGACTGGGCGAAAATCCAGGGGAACCAAGCCAGCTCAAGAGGTATCCGCGAGGCGTTGACGGACGGCGATCGGGCGAAAACTCGTGGGACCTGGGATCCAGCCCATGCAACATGTAGAAATCAGGCAAGAATCCCTAAGTGAAACACTTTATTATTGGGAACCGGAGGCTTGCAGTACGTAAGGAGGAGATTGTGCCGCGCGACGCGCTCCTTTTCATGATATAAGCGGCGCGCATTGCATGAGCTAGTGCGAAACAAAGCCAGCCGCTGAATCCCGCTCGCCATGCAGACTGGGAGCGGCGCTGACTTAAGGTCCCACGCGATGGGGCCGCACGCGTTGATGTCTGGTTCGAGAGATCCCAGATTTTACTGTCCCGCCCGGCCACACTTGCTCGCTCTCTCCCGCCGGGAGCGCCCGCCCGCCTGACCCCGCCCGTGAGGGTCCGTCGTCCAGTGCCCACCCGCCCGCTCGAGCTACGGCCCAGCGCGAGAGGTTTCACGCGTCCGTGTCCCTGTTGATCGGGGGATTCCGTCTTGGGATCTGATGCTAGACAGCGTGGGCCCTAAAGGGTGTGTTCTAGCATGCTAGGTGGTGCAATCGATTTGGTGCCATGCATGTGGTGCAAGCTATGTGGTATGATCTATGTTAAGCAATCGATGTAGTGTAAGCTGTGTGGTGCAAGCTATGTGGTTAGAGCCATGAGGTGCAAGAGCTGCGGTGCAATCTATGTGGTGCAGACTATGTGGTGCAATATATGTGGTGCAGGCTATCTCGTGCAATATGTGCGGTGCAAGCATGGGAGTTGATGACAAGTTTTCGTCACTCTTGTCGACCACGGCCTCCGTGTGATCGTCTTCCATTGCTTTGTGGCCCCGTTAGCAACCCTCGATCAGTTCACTCTTCGCTCCCCGCAGCTCACTCCCCCCACCTCTCTCTCGCTCTCGCTCTCGCTCTCCTCTCTCTCTCTCTCTCTCCATTTCTCTCTCTCCCTTCTCCATTCTCCACGATTATATTTTTCTCCATGCCTGTCTGTCTACGAATATTTTTCTTTTGGTCTCTCGCCGCCTCTGTCCTTCTGCCCCTGGCATTTGTAGTGGCCTTGTCGGGGGAGGACGACCCGAACCGAACATACACGGACATGTATCTAGGTTTGGTTGGGGATATCGACCTTCAGAGAGAATGCCCGATCCCTGCCCACGTAGTTTTTCCATGTTCGCCTTGCGTCCGAATCTTCTGTCTATTTTTCTCTCTCTCTCTCTCTCTCTCCTTCTTGGCTTCGCCCGCTGCTCTCGCACTCTCACCCGTGCCGTCATCGTACTTCTTACGTGAGTGCGTGCGTCGTACGTCGTACGACGTCCACCACACAGCGTGCATCATTCACCGTACACCGAACGACTTGCATCATTCTTCGCCCATCGAGCATCGTACGCCGCATCTGGTGGCCACGTACGTCGAACACCGTACGTCTGTCGCCGCCGCGGCCGTTGCCTTTCGTTATCGTCGTCGTCGTGGTGGTGGTCGTCGTCGTCGGCAACGGCGTTTGCGTCGGCGTCAGCCGCCGCCGCAGCCGTCGTTGTCGTTCTCGTCGTCGTCGTCGTCGTCGTCGTCGTCGTCGGAACCCACGGTTGACTTTTCTGCGTATGATTCAATTTCATATTGATCAACATGCAAGGCGATACCATTTGGGGAGTTGATGGGGGGAGGAAGGCTTTGGGGGCGATACCATGGAGGGAGGAAGGCCGCAACGCTCACAGACATCCTTTTAGCTGATCAACATGCAAGGCGATGCCATGGGGAAAATCCACCGACCCTGTCGGCGTGTGGAAGACGTTGTCGTCGCCGCAGCCGCCGCCGCCGCAGCCGCCGCCGCCGTCGTCGCCGCCGCCGCCGTCGTCGTCGTCGACGTAGTCGTCGTCGTCGTCGTCGTCGTCGTCGTCGTCGAACGTTGCTGTCGCCGTCGTGCGTCGTCGTTCGCCGTCGCTGTGGGCAGCCGGCGCGGCCTCCGCGCTCCTTGGCGCGCCCGCGGTCTGCAGGACGGCCTGCTCTGAATTCGAGCGTGGCCCCGAGCAACAGACGGGGCCTCGGCTGTCAGAGAGAAACGTACCGTCATCGATCTCCTTTCGCTTCGCGCTCTGGACCGAAGAACAAAAACTGCGTGGCCATGATTTCTCGGATCTCCGTGCGGGTTTCTTGGATCGGCGTTGGGGCCTCCTTGGCGGCGCCTCGGGCGCCGCACCTGGTGCGCTCCGCGCGCCAGGGGTGGGTGGGTCCAGCGCCGATCTAAAAAGTCCGCGCGGACCTCCGAGAAACATGATTATGCCGTTTTCTGTTGCTTCGGCACCGTCACCAGTGTCTTCCTTTCGCTTTGTCGCGAAGCTGCCCGTGTTGCGCACCGTAGTCCGATTGCATGTGGAATTCAGCATCTTGCGCACTTCTGGGCGTATGACTTCCTCATCGCTTGCTGGGGCTGATGCTGTGACCAGCCTCTGAGCGAGTGCTGGCCGTGGGCGTGGCGAGGGAGGTGGCCTTTTTCTCATGTGCTTTCCTCGTATCCAAAGGATGGGGTTCTTGTTACTCCCCATATCCAAAGGATGGGGCTCTTGTTATTCTCCGACCGCGCTGGACCACCCATACCACCCTCCTCCCTCTCTGCACTAGACTGATGATGATTGTCATGATGACGACCATGGTATGGTGAGAGTGTGATGTGAGTATGCTGGTGATGGTAAATGATGTATGAGTACGATGATTATGAAGATGTTGATGTTGATTGTGATGTTGATGTTGATGATGGTGATGATGATGATGATGATGATGATGATGATGATGATGATGATGATGACCCCCGCGTCTGAAGGGGTCAGGAACTCCTCAGGCGCCAGGGGGAGTGCACTCCTCCGTTCGCGCCAAAATGGCGGGGATGTCTCGACCGGTTTGCCAGTTTTGGTGCCCGACATCCTTGGCTTTCAGAGCAGATTTGGAGGAAGTCTCGAGCGAGGCGCTCATTTTCGCCTCCAAGGGGGAGGGGAGCCGCCAGGGGGTATTGCATTCCTTTGTTCGCGCCAAAATGGCGGGGATGTCTCGAGCGGTTTGCCTGTTTTGGTGCCCGACACCTTCCGCTTTCGGAGCAGATTTGGAGGATGTCTCAGGCGAGGCGCCCATGTTCGCCTCCAAGAGGAGCCGCCATGGGGTATTGCACTCTGTTTTGGTGCCCGGCATCTTCCGCTTTCGGAACAGATTTGGAGGATGTCTCGAGCGAGGCGCCCATTTTCGCATCCAAGGGAAGGCCGCCAGAGGGTCTTGCACTCGTCCGTTCGCGCGAATTGGCGGGGATGTCTCGAGCGGTTTGCCTGGTTCGGTGCCCGACATCTTCGCTTTTGGAGCAGTTCCTGAGGATGTCTCCGGCGAGGCGTTGGTTCCAGGGGTGACGCCAGGGGGTATTACACGGGCCCGTTTATCACAGGCCAGTTCGCGCCCAGATTGGGGGGATGTCTCAGGCGGTTGGCTTGTTTGGGTGCCCAACATCCTTCTCTTTCGGAGCAGTTCCTGAGGATGTCTCCGGCGAGGCGCTGGTTTCAGTACTCCCAAGGGGGGGCGCCAGGGGGTATATCACAGGCCCGTTCGGGCCCAGATTGGGGGAATGTCTCAGGCGGTTGGCTTGTGTGGGTGCCCAACATCCTTCTTTGTCGGAGCAGCTTCCGAGGATGTCTCAGGCGACGCGCTGGTCTCAGTACTCCCAAGGGGGGGCGCCAAGGGGTATATCACAGGCCCGTTCGGGCCCAGATTGGGTGGATGTCTCAGGCGGTTTGCCTGTTTGGTTTTCAACATCCTTCTCTTTCGGAGCAGTTTCCGAGGATGTCTCAGGCGAGGCGCTGGTTTCAGCACTCCCGAGGGGTGACGCCAGGGGGTATTACACGGGCCCGTTCGTGCCCAGATTTGGGGGATGTCTCAGGCGGTTGGCTTGTTTTGGTGCTCAACATCCTTCTTTTTCAGAGCAGGTTCGGAGGATGTCTCAGGCGAGGCGCTGGTTTCAGCACTCCCAACGGGGGGCGCCAGGGGATATTGCACGGGCACGTTTTCGTCTTCACGGATGGATTTTCTTGACAGGTGTTCCTAGGGAAAGGAGGATAACGAGGAGGAGGAGGACGATGAGGAGGAGGAGGACGGAAGGAGGAAGCAACTATTCAAAGTCATCGTAGTCGTCGGCGTCTCTCTCGGCCTCGTTTTCCACGTGGATTCGCTGACACTCGGATATTGAGAAGGCCAATGTCTTCTATCGAAGTTGCCATCACTATGGGAGTCACATATGGGGATCTCCGCGTCGAGTAATTATTAATGTTCGCTGCGTTCCTTTAGTCGTGCCATTATTTTGCTCCTCCTTACGATTATGATTCTTAGTATTCGTCTTACATATATTATTATTCTTCTGCTTCTTATTATTATTATCCTTCTTTTTCTTCTTATTATTCTTCTTCTTCTTCTTATTCTTCTTCTTCTTCTTACATTATTTAATCGTTTCGCTCATCCCGCCGGCCCTGGAGCCCTCTTTAGGGCCTCTTGGGGGCCTATTGGGGACCTCTTGGGAGTCTCCTGGGGCTGCTTGGCGGCGTCTTGGGGGCCCCCAGGGCCTCTTGGGGGCCTTTTGCGGCTCCCCCCTCGGAGGCCACGATCCTCGTGAGGGGTGTCGAAAAATGGCCCTCCCCTGGAGTACTCTGGGAGCTTCTCCCGGGACCTTGCCGGGGTGCTTTTCGTCCGGGGGCCCCCAGGGGCCGCTCCGCGCGCGCGAATTAGAAATCTTTCTAAACAGTTACCGGAGATCTTAGCACGCCTCTGGCCCGTTGGGCCAGCGAATTATTCCCTCCTCGTGACACCCCCGTCCACGCGCCGCCTCGAACACCCATGCGGCCTGGTCGACATGCGCCTTTCGCTTGCATGCCTGCCGTGGAGGACGCGGCGCACCCTGGAGCGGTTTGTTCGCCGCCGTCGGGACTCCTGGACTCACTCCCGAGGGGGCGTCCTGCACGCCTTCTCGCGACGAGGAGCCATTATCTGCCAGGGAATGATGGAAGGTGTGAGAGCGTCCATTTATGACCTCAGGAGGTCTTTAGCTTGGGGGATCCCCCTCCCTGTTTCTCTCGGCGGGTTATAAATTCCGCCCCTCCTGTTCCTCCTGCTCATCCTCCTTCCCCTCCCTCTCCTCCTCCTCCTCCGTAGCCATTTTGGCTCAAGATGTTCACGCCCCGCGGTGTCCAAATGAACACTGCTGAGCCGCGGCCAGCTCTGGTTTTCTTTTCGGTCCTGCCACAACCACGGGCTTGCAGGCGCCCGTCTCCATATACGTTCATCGCATTGCTGTGTGCGTTGGCCTTCATATTCCGCGCTGGACTATAACTCCTCGCACCATCTCCTCCATCGAGCTGCTGGTCGACGAGCCCCGCATGCGCGCCAAGCCCGCTTCCACCATGGCTGACGCTACCATGTCCATTGCCGTTGACGACTCATGCGTCGAGGAAAATCGAGGCAAAGGTGGATCTGGCGGCGCAGGCATTGGCGGCAAGACTGACAGCAAAGGGCTTCCCAGTGAGGATCCATGGGCGGATGGTGCAAGCAAGCCCATCGCCAACTCCATACCTGCTCACCAACGGAAAGAACTACAAGTCCTTCTTCCGCAACCAGTCGACAAAGCCGCCGCCGCATTCGAAGCCGCTGCCAAACAAGTCACCGCCAACGCCCAAGCCGAGTTCATCGCCACCATCACGAAGACCACTCAGCAACTGCGCGCCCGCTTCGAAGCCGTCGAAGCTGCTGCTGCTGGTCTCAAAAGTCGCGCCGATAAAGCTGAACGTGTCAATGCCGAACTTCAACAAAGCATCCTCGATATCAAGCAGTCCATCCGCCACGCAGAGGCTCTCCATCCAGCCATCAACATCGACGCACTGAGCAAGCTGGACAGGCTGCCGAATGCAGCAACATTTTGGGGCGGCGCCCCCTCCGAGTTCAACGCCGCCTCGCTCAAAGCCGCATTGCAAAGCTGGTTCATTGCCGCCGGCGCGGACGTTAACGCGATCCGCCTCAATTCGACTGGCCCCGACTGGCGCGCGTCTTTCACGCTCGCTGGGGGATCTCCCACCGCAATACCAGCTGCCACAGCTTTGCACAGAGCTCTTCGTGAAGGGAAGGACTGGCGCCGCCTCGAGATCGCCGGCACCGCGGGCGCCGCCCCTTCGCGCGTATCCGCTGACAGATCCCCGCGCATGGTTAGGCACGAGGTTCACCTCAAGCGCCTCAGCAAGCTCACCCTGGCCAAGCACCCCGATATCGACATTCGCATCCACCGCGCGCGCTCAATGTCGGAGGCCCGCCCATATGCCGGGTCATTGCAGGTGCCACGCCCGAGGCTGCCACTCGCATTCGCTGGTCCGACGCCGCCGCGTCTGCTGGCGCCCCCGTCACCGAGCGCGACACCTGCGCGAACAAGCTGGCCGCCGCCTTCGCGGACCTAATGGCGGCAGCGCAGTGGATTTAGCACGCGATGGTCACCGTGGCTCATCGAACCACAGACGGATGGCCTCAACGTCGCCTCGTGGAACGCGCGGGCGCCCATGGGGGGATCGCCGACAAGGAGAGCCATCAAGCGCAGCATGTTACTGCCGTGCATGCGCCAGCGCGCAGTCATCGCGCTCCAGGAGACCCGCGGCAACTACGCGGACATCCAGAACTTCGTCGACGCCTCCACGCACCCGTACCTGTCCTACCACTCCGCCCTCGTGAACGACGGCGTGCCCTCCGAGACCGCGGGTGGCGTCGCCTTCCTCGTCCCGCACGACAGGCGCGAGCTCGGGCTACCTGTCGACCAGCGCCCCGTCCGAGACTGCCATTCCATTGTGCGCGGCCGCATTGCTGAGCTTCGCGTGAAGAGCGCAAGTGGCGTGCACGAGACGGCCATCTTCAACGTTCACCATTGCGAGCTCTCGCAACACGTTCGGCAGTTATTTAAGACGGCATGGAGGCCGCACAAGATCGGACAGCGGCAAGCCCGAGCACGCACAACCTCGCCCTGATCGGCGACTTCAACATTTCGGAGCTTCCGCCCAAGAGCTTGCTGCGCCCCATCGACGCCACCACCGCGGACAG